GCGCAGCCGGTCCGGCACGTGGCTCAGGTCGAGTTCCTCCACGTCCGGCGGGGGAGGTTCAATCCGCCGTTCCGGCTTCGTAGTTGCCGTCGCGGAGAGCCTTTACTCCCGTTCTCCTTGCTGGTCCTCGCGATCTTGATCCGACGGTTCGCATCTTGTCTCGCCCGTAGGCGTCTTGGTGGAATTAGGAAAATTTTCCTTCTTCCTTTCTTGAATTCCGAGAACTTCACCAATGGTAGTTTTGCTCTCGAGCGCGGCTCTCGGGTGCGGTAATAATTCTGCCACCACTTGGCCTTTTTGCACCCTGACAGGGTACGTCCTAAAATTCGCAACGAGTAAACGAAATGACCGGTCAGGCTCAACCTGAACGACACCATTCGTGCACGTCAACCCGTGCCTTTCGTACAACGACGAGTACGGCTGAACCACAACCAAGCCCGCCCTCTTCGAGGTGCATTCCACGACGCGTTGCGTCCCTGGCTCGATAGTCGTGGCTCTTGCCACTTTTACCTTAGGGGAAATTCGCTCCACCTTTCCATCGTTCTCGTCCTCTCCCGGGACGAGATTCTTCTTCCCTTTTCTCGTCGAGAACCTTTTAACTATCGGAACCTCCGAGAAATCCGCCAACTCAACCATTTTCTTCCTTGGATAAATTGCTTCCACAAACCGGTCACAGTAGTTCGCGCCTAGAATTAGCAGGACGGCTAGTTTTTCGCATACAATAAACTTGGCTGCGGCCACAAATTTTCCAAGCCTCACAGGCATTCTAATTGTGCCGAGAGTCCGGAGTGGCCTATTGTTCGCGTCGCCAATGCCTTGGGTCGGTCCGTAGGACACTAGAGATTCCATTCCAGCCGGGAGTTCCGATTTTCGCACAAGGTTTGGTCCCGCGCCGGTGTCTAAAACAGACAACACCCGGCTCATCAATCCAATTGTGGGTCCGATGTCCGCGTAAACTTTGTAGTTTTTTCGCGCAAGAACCAAAATCTTCTCGGGACACTCCCTTCGCTTAACCCTGTACCAGGGTCTTCGAACTTCTTCCAGCGGATGATCTCGGGCTCGGCTCAAAATTCTCTTGACTTGAGCTGGCCCTTTGGGCTTATCCACCAATCCAACAACCTCCTCATCGGGGCCTGATTTTTCCCTTAGAGACGGGGAACGGGGCTGAGCCCCGGGCACAATACGTCGACCCTGTGCCTCTCGCGACTCATGCGAGATTCCCCTCTCTAGTTTTCCTGCCGCTGCGGGATTCTTCTCACATCCGACGGCGCGGGCCCCGCGGCGGGCCCTCTGAAGGTTTGGTTCGACCTCGGCGTTGAAGCACTCGGCGTGCTCGCCGTCTGCGAATCGAACCAATTCTTGACCTTCAGGTAACTCGTCGATGGTATCCCTAACCTCTCCATCGGAGACAACGCCTCATAATTTTCCAAAACTCGGTGCATTTCTCGGAGGGAACGAATGCACGTTGGCGCGGCGTGCCCCTTTTCATAGCAATGATAGCACACCAGTCCGTGCGTCTTGACGGGATATTGCAGCCTAGGTCCTCCACGGGCCGGCAGCCTTCCTTGACGTTGCGGCCTTCCCATCCAGCCTGGCCTTCGAAACGTCGTACCCTTGTCTTCCATCGGAATGCGTGGCGCCGGCGTGTGGCCGCGCCCCCGAAACATCATCACGGGATCCGTGGGGTCTGAAAACGACTCCGTCGTGTATGTGGGCATCGGTAAAGTTGACGACCCGCTTGCCCCGTAGTCCTCGTGCCCGTAGCCCTCCGATGGTTCAATGAACTGGCCTTCGGCTATCAACGCTCCTTCGTAGTGATTTTCGCTGCTTCCGTGCGCACCGCGTTCATCTGACGCGGAAATTGACTCGGCTAAATGGACGGCGGCATGACTTTTGCGACCGGGATAAGAAGCCCTCGGCTTCTTACCCGCCCTGATCGTCGACGGCGTCTGGATCGTGACCTTCTTGGTCTTCTTGTCCTTAGCGCGGCTCGCCGAGCCATGCGCCTTCGCGTAATTAACTAGTCTCAAAAACGAAACGTCCCGATTGTCTTGTCGGTATTGAGATACCATCGGCTTGATACTCGAATCGAGTCCTTCAATAAACATCGTCATTTGTTCTTCCATCGAATATACGTTTCCACATCGATTGCTCGTGTCCGTCAGACGGACATAAAATTCCATCTCGTCTTCAGACGGTCTTTGCTGAACCTCTCGCAATGCGAGCACGGCTTGACGGATCGCCTCGTCGGTTGCGAAACTCCTCAACAACCACTGTACGGCCTCGGGCCAAACGGATACCTTTCCGTGGTGGGACCCGGCCGTCTGAGACACCGAAGTGTACTGTCTCAGGGCGATGCCGCTTAGAAATTCGGGCAACAAGCGGATCGCTTGCCCCTCGTTCATTTCTTGAGTATCAAACTCTTGAACTAATTTTGCCAAAAAATCCAACACAAGGACCCCGTCCTCACCTGTGAACGTGTTGTTCTTCTTCACCTTTAGCGGAATATCTCTCCTGATTTTTCGCACGGCGGTCCGCCGGGAACTTGACAAATATGTCTGCGGGTTCCGCAAGCGGTACGTTCGGTACGAAAGTAATTTCTTGAGGAGGTAGTTGGTCGGATTCAGCTCCTCCAACTCCTCCCATCGAGGCCCGCGTCGCGTTGCGGCGTCCTCTGGCTCAACGTCCTTGTCTCTCCGCGAGGCGGACGAAGTGATTCCGCCCCGTCTGGAGGTAATTTTCTTGCCCTGCCAAATTCCTTTTCCTTCCTCTGAATGATAGTCGGAATCGCTGGCATGGTTCGACGAACCGTCTTCACCATCTTCGGAAAGGCCATTCGACTCGACCGTTGAGTCTTGGCCCTCCGGCTCGTCACTACAGTGACTCTTGCTCCGGCGTCGCAGATTCTTCTTCGAAGTCTTCGACTTGGAACTCCGCTGTACCGCGGCCTTGTCCTTCTTCGATCGACGATCGCCTTCTCGACCCGTTGGGAGCGGCTCTTGCCCGGCGACCTGTTCAAGGTCCTTGAGACGATGACCGGCGCGGTCGAACCTGTCGTCGATACTGCTTCTAAATTTACCTAAAGACTCCAAAGCCTGATTCGCGTCGCGCCTTGCGTCCTTGACTGAAATTTTCAACGAAGCTAGGACCTCCGGCTCCAGACCGTCGGTCGCCTCACCTCGCTCCTCCTCGACGAGATCCACTTGAGCCGACAGCTCTCCTAAAACGGTGTGGAACTCGGATGCCTGCAACTCCAGTTGCTTCCGGACGAGGGCTAATTCAGCCTCGAGATTTTTCGTCATCTCTTGGCGAATTTCCTCGCCCATTTTCTCGAACCTGTAGGATAGGTTGTCCTTGCCGGCTTCAATCCCCGTCGGGATTTCTTGACCTTCCGGATCCGTGGCCGTATTGGCCTGGCTTCGGGTGCGAGGACCTCTCGGGATCCTCGACGCCCTTGCCGATCCGCTCCTACTCGCCCCGGGACCGACGTCCCCGGGTGCGCTTGTCGACATCGCTCGTACGAGCGAACCTACACAAAAAAGGTTACAAACAAAAATAAAAAAGAGACTCCGTTACCCAGACCACCTTCGTAGTACAACTCCAGATCAGGACTTTCGTAGGCAAAATTCTTGATCGGGTCTCCTGCACAGTAGACGAATTCTAGGTCGGGAGACCACTTTTGTAGTGCAATGTGCCTGGCAGGCCGCGAACACAGTCCGACGGTCAAACAAAAAGACGAAAAACAACAGCAACAACAACAACTGCCGATGGCACGCGCTACGGAGCGTTCGAGACTCCCTTTCCACTTGTGTGGGCTTGCGGCCCACGGTAGCTCAACTCCGACGGGGGGGTAAGGAAAGATGCCCGGCCTGCGAGGATAATGGCGGTAGAGACTTGTGAAGACTTGAGCGTTCGACGAGTGCGGGTTGGGCTTGTCTACGACGATGTAACCGCGGTTTGCTGGGTTGTAAGGCCAATGCTCGACGAGCGTCTTCAGCACCTTGCGTATAATTCAAGGTCTTCGACGGGGGCTTGTTCAGCACTACCCGACGGGATCGTAACCGTGTAGCAACGCTACTACCGACCTGTTGCCCGATGGCTAAAAACACCCTCACCACCGCGATCGCAATCGCGGTAGGTGGTACCAACTCTGTCTTGTACAGCAAGACCTTCGACGGAGGCGTCGGTGCAACAGCCTTCCGACGGAACTTGAAACAGTAGCAGCGCTACACAACGTGTTGCCCGATGGCTAAAACACCTACACCGGATCGGTCGCAACCAACTCCAGTGGAACCCACACAATTAAAGGAAAAATAGAGATAGAGGTAGAAAAGAATAGGGAAATAAAGGAAAAAGAAAAGGGAACCCCCGAGCGCAAAGGATAACGTAATCTGTGGTAAAAGGGAGCGTCTTGGGAAAGACGGACTTCGACCAAGGCGATATTCAACTCTGGCAACTCGGGTTACCTTTACTGACTTGGTGGTCAGAGGGCTAAGGTATACATCGCCCCGCCGGAGCCAGTACAGTAGCTCGCAGCGCTAAATCCTAGATCTAATCTAGTGTCAGCAAAATTAATGCCAACTAATTAACTAAATAAAATAAAATAATAAAAAATTAAAACTGTGCAATTATTCACACGTGTGTCCCCCAACCCGGACTACTTTTCATATTCAAATATTTTCCTTTCTTTTCACCCCCCTTTCCAGGTGCGTATTGCACTACAACAAACGAATTCTGTTTGATCGGACAGGCAGACTGCAAAAAGAGATGGCGAGAGGCAATTTTTCCAAAACATCCATTTTTATTGAATCCGTGTACACAATATTTGTTCATAAAGCACTGCGACATGCGCTGCAGTTTCTGCACCAGGCATCGATCTGTTCGTCGTCACCTTCTACGGTAGGCGCGAAACCGTAAGCGGGGCATCACACGAGGCCGGGACAAGTCTCCTCCCTGCGCCTCACCGGCATGATATCCATCTTTGCTCGGGGCTGGCGGAGTTACGGCGCGGCATCCCGGCTGGGTCTGCGCCAGCTCTCGACGGCGACGACCGAGACGCCGGCGGCTCCGCCTTCAGTGCGCGCGCCGCGGATCGCGTACCTAAACGCCGCGCAAATAGACTTCAAGGACAAGCTTCGGCTGGACAACATCCGGGACAACGACGGTGCGAAGAAGAAGGAGGTGCGGGTGGGCCGCGGGCGCGGCTGGGGGTGCGGGAAGACTTCCGGGCGCGGGCAGAATGGACAGTGCGCGAGAAACGCGGTGCGGCTAGGGTTTGAGGGCGGGCAGAAGCCACTGCAGAAGCGGCTGCCGAAGAGGCGATACTTCCCCCAGTTCGAGAGGAAGCTGGCGCTGGTGACGCTGGGCGAATTCTGCACTACATGGACATCGGATGCATCGAGACGGGGAAGACGATCACGATCTGCGACCCGTGGAAATCGGGGTGCGTGGGTAGGATTAAGGACGGCATGGTGCTGGTGAGTGGGGGAACTTTCAGGAGAAGATCGATGTAAAGGTAACGGAATGTGAACCGAGGGCCTCGTCGCAGATGCTCGCCGCGGGGGGAGGATCACGCCGGCTTCATATAACGAACTCGGGTTGAGGGCGCTGCTCAAGCCGGAGAAGTGGGCCCAGACGGGCTTGCCACTGCCACGACGGGCGAGGCCCCCGCCTAAGTTTGAGCATAGGTATCCGGAGCGCAATGAGCAGAATTTACCAATTCGACCGCTCATCTCGCAGCAGGATGTGGATCTGCTTGAAAAAGCTTGGAGGCGCATCGCGCATATCCGGCAACGCAAGCAGCACATATAAGTGACAGATTGAATGGGTGCAATGGTTCCACGGGAGGACCTGACCTCAGTCAAAATCGAGGTCAGCGAAAGCCGTGAGGCGGTGACGCCCTGTCTTCCAATACAAGACGATGTTTACTGCAGCTTCACCTGGGAATCATACTGGACCTCAAAAAGTGTGGGATGCTAATTTCGCATCCCAACGGAGGTTTATAAAGGTTCTACGTATCAGATAAAGATATCTCCTTCTCTGCGTCCGCTTCCGGCAAGATAATTGCAAAAGACCGCTGCGGAGCGTGTTGTATCGCTCATTAGTGAAAGTTTGATCATCAGTGGCATTCTGTGCAGTATCGTTATCTCTGAGTCGTGCGCGCGCTTTTTGCAGTACTTCACTACGCAGAAAGTTGAAATACGCTACCGCATCTCCTTCATCGTAGCCATCAGGGGCTGAACTAAATAGCAGAATCTCATTATACTGCTGCAAAGCAGCATTAAGTTCCCTTTGAATTTGAACGGATTCCGATGCCAAGCGTAGTTTCTTAGATCTGCTTACCCGCATGAGTTCCACTTCTTTCGACTTTTCCTCCCGACCGAACGCTTTCTAGTACTAGTCACTTCATCACCATCCCGCGACCTTTCTGCACAAATAAATGGGTCCTTTTCCTCCAGCTACTGAGCCATCACTTGCTGTGTGCGTTCCGCCTGGCACGGATCCATGGCCGGCCATGGATCCATGGAGGGGCCTCCTCCACTAAAATTCTCGTGTGAACAAAGCAGTTTCGAAACTGGCAAAAACTTGAACTTTCTACCTACGTGGTCGTCCGGGTGCTGTATCCGTACGTCATTGAAAAGAGCTGTAGCCATCCGAATCATGTGTTCTTCTGAGACCCCCGTCGGTTTTGATCTCCGAACCGCAGCGAAACATGAACCAAACTTCACAAATTCCTTGTTTATTAATTTTGAACGGGTCCAAATGATTTCCATTGTTCTTTTTTCAAGCCCGAGGAGTGAAAGGTGTGATAAAGGTCACACGTTAGGTCATAAAAGCGAGCTATCTTTTGTTCTGACCCTGTGACTGGGTCTTCTGAAACCCTTATCCATGCCCGGCCAACGCAAATGTCTTCTTCTGATGTGAAGTTGGATCCTCGCGTCTGGAAGTATCGTTGAGGACTGCAAAATCAATGGGACTGAGCTTGGAGGTGGTATTGCGCATGAAGGGAGCCGCTGGTCTGAGGAGGAAGAAATTGAGCCTGATAAAATGGAACTCATTTCTGCACAGTGCAACGATTTGATCATGTTCTCGGAGGGACGTTCTCCGGGGTGCTCTATCCCTGGCGTCGGAATGGCGTCTCCCAAATTGGCAGTGATTGCTTTCGCGATATAGGCGGGAGAGATGGCGGGAGACTGTTGTAATTTAGAGGCAAGTACCGCATCGGTGCACTGTTTGCTGGGAAGCCGTTTCGGTCGACCAATACATCGTGCACAACTGGATTGTCAAGGGTAATCAAACAGAGACTACGTGATCCAAATTCTTGATATTTAATTCCGATTTTTTGATCGACACCAAAAATTCAATGATTTGATTGCACCGGTGGGGATGTCAATAGACATCAAATCATCAAATTGTGGTTGTTTTGGTATTTGATTCTACCGGTGGGGATGCTCTGACAAGGTCAAGAGGTCGTTTTCGAAAGCAAGTTGTGCCGTTGATATAACCAAATAGTTTATCATACTCCGAAAATTGCGGAATGACAGCACTGGGTCACTGAAGACTGCAATAAACTTTACTGTACGCCATTGCCATTGCCCGCGACCGCCGCCCAGTGCCGCAGCACACCTTTTGCCACGTGTGGGTGTGCCCAACAGTACGATGTGCTTTGGGATGTAAGCATTGTTGGAAAGCAAAGAATTTAACCGTCTAGGGTGACAGGGTGAACATCTGCGTCCAGAGCACATTCTACCATGATTGTTGGCAAAAGCACATCTTTTTACGTCGCGGGCAACGAGGACCACTCTACAGTTTACGAATATCCCGCACGGAATTTAGAAACCAGATTCATTGTAGACACGCAGACGCCATAAATGGAATCTGTTTCTCTGCAGCGATTTGCTGCACGATTTTCCGACATTTTCCGACACGGCACTTCTGTGTTCAGTTGGCAAGCAATGATATTTGCCGACGACAGCTTTTTTTAACGTAGAAGCAGTATTACCAGCATCGGGGAAAAAAGAAAGAAACCAACGCATGCCCACCACTTGCTTACACGCCTGTCCCTGGAGGATCGAATATGTGGCGAGGACACATAAAATCGGCCGCTCTCGTTTCAAACCCGCCAGCGCACAGAATCATGGTCAAAAATGGCAAGCAAGAATTGTGAAAGAGCACCGCGTTTTTTGTCTTCTTTTGCTCAGGCCCTGACAGCTTGGTCTGCATGAAAGAAACCAGGAACGCCCTTGAAGTATTTAAATTTCATGGTTTAAACTTTTTTCGGCTGCAGAATGCCAATGCGACACGCTATGCGTTCTGGAGCTGGGCAACCGGTTGAAGCACCAGTTACGGAAAGCCCGAGTCCTTCCAAGTTGTCACCAGTTGCAAAAACGTCTCAAAACTTTATCTTCGTCTGGTGGAAGCGCATGGGCTGTTGTAAGGGAGGGCGCCAACGATGACGTCCACGTGTAATGTGTTGTCCAATACACGTGTAGATATGTGACGTCATCGTCCAAGTGGGCGGCATTGCCCCAAAAATAAAGCCATCTCTTCAGGATGCGCCCCGCCTTTACCCCCCCACCATTTTCTACCTTTTGTGTGGCACACACCTGAACACGAAATGTAGGGCGCGACACGAAAGTAGTGAATGTTAACTTCTTCTGGTGCCGCACCTTCCAGCCCTGCACAAGTAACATTGATGGATAATTTCAGACATTCGCTTTGGGCACGAACGTATAGCGGTTGGCAGCATCACATACTTTCTCGAAGCAATAGGTTTTCAGTTAGGTGAGCAGGGGCAGTTCAAGATCCTGCCGCAGACCCATGGCAGTCTTCTATATCGCACGAAAACAAAAACACAGGAATTGACATTTGCATTGCGCTAAAGACTCTATAAAAACGACCAAGTATGGTGCACAGCCTCGCCGTCGCAGTAAACTAAGAACAAGCAGCTATTTTATTAAAACTTGAATAATCAGACTCCTCAGAGCTACGGGGCGGGTAGAACGGGGTGGGTAGAACTCTGCCGAAAAACATGCAGCTGCTGCCGGCATCTCTCAGAGCTGGACATACTCGGCGCGCTAACGGCCCCTCCTCTCCTTTCTCTCGCAATCGGAACAGTCCTTGGCGGACCTCTCCACGACGAAAACCCACCTGTCCGTTCGTTCACTGAGTACATCCTTAACCCTGGCCTTATGTACGATTTGATAAAACGCCTTCAACGTTGCGTCAGTGGCGAGGACTTTGCGGCTCGGGTGGAGCTTCTGAAGCGTGGAACTCTTCTTCCTAGCCTTGCTCCACACGTCCTCCGTATGCGCGTATCCCGAAATGCGCACCGGCACGTCGTGCCTCAACAAGAGGTCGGCGTTGTCGGTGCCCCTGTAGCGGATGTTGACGGACAGGTTGTACTCGTGGTGGCGCGCGTGTGGGCGCGAGCGACCGCGCGGGGAGCGGCGGTCGGGGCTTTCCGAGCTGTTTGCGCGGTCCGGGACGCGCATGCGGGAGCGGGAGCGGCTGCGGCCGCGGGCCGGGTCGTGACGGGGATCCGGGTTGGGGCTGGGGCGGTCCGGGCGTCGCGTGCGGGAGCGAGAGCGGCCGCGCGCCGGTTCGTGGCGGGGCTCCGGGTTGGGGCGGTCCGGGCGTCGCGTGCGGGAGCGAGAGCGGCCGCGCGCCGGTTCGTGGCGGGGCTCCGGGTTGGGGCGGTCCGGGCGTCGCGCGCGGGAGCGAGAGCGGCCGCGCGCCGGTTCGTGACGGGGATCCGGGTCGGAGCGGTCCGGGCGTCGCATGCCGGAGCGAGAGCGGCCCGGATGCGGGTTTAGTATCGGAACGGGCGCACGGCGGTTGGCCGAACGGCGGTTGGGCGCATCGCGCCACTCGGCAGGCCGGCGGAGCGCGACGGTGTGGTGCGGGACGAGGGAGTTGTCGGCGGAATTGCGGAAGTGAATTCTCCTGCGCGGCATGGTGGGAAGTGGTGAAGTGGTGAGGAAGTGATGAGGCGGTGGGTAATAGTGAAGTGGAGGAAAGTAGTGAGGTGGAGGAAAATGGTGAGGTGGAGGAAAGTGGTGAAGCGGTGGGAGTGATATGAGAGATGGGAAAACAGGGAGGCGGGGAGGACGGGTTTTATAGAATAGCGCTGCGACGCAGTTGGCGTGACGAGTGGGCGTGCGTGTCGCGTTGGCGGCCGGCGTCGAGAGTAGAAACACGGTTGTGACCGTGAAAGGGGAAAGAAGGACATGGCGGGTCGTGGGGGCGGGCCGCTGGAGGGCGAATAGGTACAGGAGAGGGACGGACAAGGAGCTACGGGGGTGGTTGACGGTCGCGGGAGGGTCGTGTGCGAGATATGATCGTTCGACATCACGGAGAGGGTGCGATTGCGTCTGCGCTTGTGGAAATGGAGTCCAAGGCGACTGTGGGGGTGACGGCAGGGCGACAACGGGTGCAAAAAGGTCGACGCGGGTGGAGGTGGGGGGGGGGTGGCCACCAGCGGGAAGGCCAATGTTTAAAGGAGAACGGTACCGAAGATGCAAAGATGCGTGGGAGGCTATAGGGTCTCGGAGAGCGGGCCCTGCAGCCACGTGGCCACCTGTTGCCCGCTGGCAAAACGCAGCCGAAAATCTCCACCTATCTCGCCGCAGAATAAAACCGCCTTCCACCCGTCACGCGCCCGCCTACGCTTCCCGCTCCCCTCCCCCACAGCCCCCGCTCTTCTGCAAGAGCGCTCCCCGCGAAATGTCATCCACGCCACCAACCGACGCGTCGCCGCCCTCGTCTGTGGCGCGCGCGCTCGCCTGGCTGCAGTCGCGCGGCGCGGCGTCGACGCGCGAGGAAGCGCTCGCGCTGTTCGTGCACGCGCTCCTTCTCGCGCACGGCTTCCGTCCGAGCGGCACGGCGGCGGACGCGAGCGCGGACGTGCTGCCGCGCGAGTGGGGCACGGCGGGGTACGGCGGGCGGTACGCGCACTCGCGGTCCAGCCTGACGTTCGACATCCGGGCGACGCGCGTCGGGCGGCGGCTGGTGGTCAACGCGGTCGCGCTGGAGGACGACGGCGAGATGCACACGCTGCCGCTGGTCGTCGACGACTTTGTCGCCGAGGACGGGCCGTGGGAGGACCGCTTGCTGCGCAGGGACGACGTGGCCACGGTCGTCCAGGTGCAGATCGCGCACCGCCTCGTGCCCGACGCCGCAAAGGAGGGCTACGAGCAGGCCGCGCAGGGCGCGGGCGGGGGCAGCGCGCAGACGGCGGGCGCGGGCAGCGCGAGCGCGAGGCCGGCTCCGTATGCGCCGCGGCTGGAGGACCCGCTCAGGGTCGGAGGGCCGCGACTTCCGGGGGCGTGGGTTCCGCCCGCGGTGGGGGGCGGCGAGTATGGGAGGGATGATTTGCTCGCGCCCGGGCTGCCGCAGGTTGGCCGCGGGAGGGGACTGGGGATTGGTGGCGGGATGGGAGGCAACTTGATGGGACCCGGCAACTTTCCGGGGAGGCTGGGCGTGGGGAGGGGGATTAGGCCGCAGGGGGTGCCGCCGGGCGCTAGGTATGATCCGTACTTGCCGTTCGGGCCGGATAATGACATTGAGAGGCCGCCCGGGTGGGAGGATGAACATGGGCTGGGAGGGGGTACGGGAGGAGGAGGGATGGGAGGGCCTCCTTTCGGAGGAGGGCCTTTAGGGGGAGGGGGCAGGCCGTTTGGAGGGGGGCTTTAAAGAATAGATGGCGTTGGTGGAGGTGGAGTCGATGTACTATACTTGGAGACAAGAGTACCTTATAGAGGTAACTCGCGTTGTAGATGCCGCAGAAGCGCCACAAAACCGGATACGGCGTTGAGAGTGATTTGGTAGTGCCACGTGCACACGCCGCCACGTGTGCCATCTGTAAATACACGTGTATCCTATCGGCCCTGTTACGGCGCTGCCATTGGGCGATATAAGGTCCTACTCGCGGCGCTCCTGCACGGGGGTACCTTGCCCTCCTCGTCCCCCTCCGCCTCTCATCCCTTACCTCATCGCACACCCCCCACGACCCTGCCGACCCCCGCAGACCTCCCCCCCCCCCCCCCCCCCCCTCCCCACTATGGACCCCACTATCAACGAGGACCCCACTATCAACTTCCACAACACCATCCTTAAGTGGGAAGCCGCTTCCTCGCACAACGCTATTTCGTCTCGCGACCCTGCACCTCCCTCTCCCTCTCCCTCTCCCTCTCCCTCTCCCTCTCCCCCTTCGCCTCCATCTCATTCTCCTGATCCCTCTCCTTCTCCCTCCCCTTCCCCCTCCCCTTCCGCCGACCCCGCCCCGCGCGTGGACGCAGTCGAGACCGCCTCTCCACTGCAAACCCCGATGCCATCCGCAGATCCCGCGCCCCCCTCCGATGCCTCCGACTACTCAGACGTCGGAGACTACTCAGCAGACGAGGACTTCTACGTCCCGGGCGTCAACGACCCCTCCTCCTCCGGCTCTACGCCGCTCGCCTTCTCCGCAGCTTCACACCCGGCCCCGCCGCCGTACCCCTCCTCCGAAGAATCCGACCACTCCTCCAACGTCGTGCGCCAGGACTCCAACTTCTCGCGCCTCTCCGCCCAGTCCTGGCTCACAGTCGACTCCGCCCAGGACGTCGATGAGCCCCATCTGCTTCATCCGCGCGACCCCGCAGTCCCGCAACCCGCCGCCGCAACCCCGTTCGACCCCGCCGCCTCTGCCACCGCGCCGCGTGACGCCCCCATTATTCCAGACCGCAAGTTTCCGGGCGCCGATAGGGATAGGGATCCCTCTACCTTGTTCGATGTTGATATCGAGGCAGAGCTGCTGCAAACTGTCCAATCGAAGCCCCTCGCCGAAATGTCTGTCTTCGAGTGCTGCGCCGTGCTTCAAGCAGGCGTCCCGGCGTACAAGAAGAAAAGCTTTCGCCGCTTTGGCGCCCGCCGTGTGTGGTTGTCACCCGAGTGCGACCGCTTGCTATGGACGAGTAAGAAGGACGGCGTCACGGCCGACCATATCAAGTTGCAAAAAGTCGCCAAGATGAAGTGCGCTGATCGAGAGGTGAGCGTAGATGTCACTGAGGGATATCGCATCTCGCTCCTGTTTGGTAACCCCGAAGAGGCCGGAATGTGGGTGAGAGCCCTGTCATGTCTTATTCCGTTGCAGGCCCGCGTCAGGGCCCCGAAAGGAGTCGTGCCGCCGGACAAGGACCGCGAGGATTACACGCTTATTGACGATGTGTTTGACAATCGACCGCTGCGCGATCGCATTGCCGTCAATTCTTACATCGTCCTGTGCTCAGCGAACAAGCAGCCTCCGCAGATGGGGAACAAGCTTGCGTTTTCGAGGTCTGAGGCGTCGTTTTGCGGCCTGCGGTACATTCCGTACAAGCTTGTCCCGTTGCTGCTGCGGTCACAGGAGGAGATTGCCGTTCTCAAGCGCCTCGACCATCCCAATGTCGTTAAGTACCACGAGTGCTTGCAAGACCAGGAGCACGGCGGGAATTACGTCATCTTCGAATATCTCGCAAAGGGCTCGATCATGGACTCAACCAAGCTGGAGGGCGTCGCTCCCATCCGCGAGGCGACAGCGCGCGAGTACATTCGCGACGTCGTCAACGGCCTCGAATATCTACACTCGCTTCGCATTGCCCACGGGGACGTACGCCCAGATAATCTTCTCCGCTCCGTAAACGGCGCCATCAAGATCAACCCGCTCGGCTGTATCACCCACGATTTTACCGAAATCCAAAACGGCCCCGCGCTTGTCCGCGCCCGGCTTGGCGAAGCCTCGCCGGCCTTTTTGGCGCCAGAGCTTTGCTGGCTTAGCGACGCACCCTCCGCGCATTCGAAGAGCTACGCCATGGACGTCTGGGCCGTGGGCGTCGTTTTGTATTTCATGCTGTACGGCCGCGTCCCGTTCGGTGGTCGCGACAACCACGCCATTCAGGAGAGCATCTGCAAGGGAAAGCTGCGCTTCCCGAGACACCCGGAGACGTCAAGAAAAGTACGGAGCCTGCTGAAAGGCGTCCTCGGCGAGAAGGATCCCAAGACACGGATCGCCTTGTCCGAGCTTCAAAGACACCCCTGGTTTTCAGAAGCAGATAATAAGGCGGCGATAATCGGCGATGCAAGTCGGGAGCCCACAAGACTTATCGTCTCGCCGGAAGAGGTGGACTCGGCTGTCCAAGTAGCTAAAGTCGGCGTGACCTCAAGAAAACGATAGAGCGGCGAGGGATGCTGGTTAGCCTTTTTTTGGGCTCGATCAGAACCACATGTACAATCACATTCGCGGTCATGTCGGGTTATATACGTACCGTTCTCCCATCCAACTTCACTCCCTTCGCTCTAAATTCGCACCCCGACAAGTCATAGAATTCATTTATATATCGCATTTAAACCATCTTTACAACTACATCCGCCCAAAAACTGTTACTAACCTTTACGATGTCACACCTATCCGGCTGCCTAGGTAATTTACCTCTAATCATACAGTACTTGCTGCTGGAACACGACCTTGGCTTGTCCGGTCCACTTCGAAAACTCACTCGTTGCTCTCAATCACTTTTCCAGGCTTTACTCGACGCACAAGCCGTGCTCGTTCCAGTCGACCGAGAGTCTTGTGCTCTTTACATTTACATGTTTAGGTGCGTGATGCCTGTTCACTGTCATAATTCGTTCTAGCAACACGAAAAAATATATATATCGCGGATGGTTGCTGTGAAGAAATCATGACTCGCCCAAATGTCGCTTGACCGACTTGCATCCCAACCCTTTGCGTTCACCGCGAGATCATCCGGAGATCACAAAGTTGCGGCCGTTGCCATCGCCCATGTCGACTTTTGTCAATCATGCCGCGTGCCTACCATAGGTCCATTGCCTTCTCTCCCAGTACGAGTGGACTATTTCGAGTGGAACACAGAAAAAACGAAGTCTGATCACTCCTTTCTTTGGTCGTCATACTTTGCTCGTCACCAGTCTCCCAGCAAGTGTCGCAAACGCCATGCAGATTACAAATTTTTGCGCGGCAAAGATAGCGGCGTCAGCGTGGCGCAAGCTGTATCTCTGAAGTTCCCATGACAAAGATTCATTTTTTCTCGTTCTATAACTTGTAGATTTGGAAGACGACATATGTGCAAGTGCGAATAACCCATTTCACGTACTCCATCGCTCTTCGCCCATCGCGAGCAAGCAAATCTAGCGGCACAGGAGTTGCATGAAAACTTGCCCAGAGTAGCAGTCATTTGATAAGCAAGACGGGTTCATCCAAACGTTGCCTTTGACGTGATTATCTCTTCAATGAGCTATTGCCCACGATTGCTACTCATTCTTCGATTTTTTCCTCGTTCATGACGACTTTTCCGGGATGCAGGATAAAAGTCATATCATGCGTCATAGAGCATTCCATATGACATGCTGTAACTCGCTGCAGCGAGAGTCATTCACTTGTTCCCCTCCGGTCTTCTATAATCCTCAACTCCTGCTTGCTAAGATGACATAAAAGTCGATGGCTCTCGCCAGTGTTCAGTCATTCTCGCCATTGCAGCCCTTTCAGAGCGAACACTATGCTGTCTGATGATGTTAGAAGTCTAGTGTTATAGATGAAAGTCGTATCCATCGCTCTCCTCTCATCTCAGGGTTGCTTTGTTTTTCTCGTACAAGATACGTGTACTGAAATTGTTATCAGGTCGCAACGCTGTGCAACACAGCACACGCACCTTGCGAGTTTTCAGACACAGCATACCCCGAACTGCAACAAGCGTGGCTAACAGGGTGTGTGTTTTGCTCCCGAGCGATCCTCGAGAATGGCAAGCACATGTGAAAACAGAACCCACTTCGGCGAAAAGAGAGTTCCTTGACAAGTTAATGAAATGCGAAAGACGGGCAAAATCAAGGTACTACGCATACCAACGGCAGAACAGAAAGCCGACATCTTTACGAAACCGCTCAAGAACATACTGTACGCCAAACACAAAACCAGCATACCGATCCAAGCACCACCAAGCGCCCCCCCACCAACAAACCGAACAGCCAGCACGCGCGTCCGGGGGAGTGTGGTTACACCCAGAAAACAGCACGACGCGCGACCGGCCTGAACTCCCCAACACAAGATAGTTACACCCAGAAAACAGCACAACGCGCGACCTGCCCACTCCCCTGCGAACTCCCCAACACAAGATAGTTACACCCAGACAAGGCAGCACCCATAGATGGGGCACCGCCAATAAGGCGCCTCCATTTCCTACGCAAATAAAGCCGTCGTCGCTCCGACCACCTTCGGGGGTCGGAGGCATCGGTCTGATCTTGGCATCACAACCTAGGAGAACTAGTTTCTGAAGGTAGGAGACTTGTCGCCATCTTGCTCCCCCGTCACTGCAACGCCGATGCTCATTTCTGGAGGCTCGACAGGGGTGTCGAGCCTCCCGAGATGGGCCTCGGAGTTGCACTTCGAGCGGGGGGTTGATAAC